GTTAAACAAAGATAATGTTTTTAAACTGTAACAACTTGGTGAGGGAAAATCACACCACTTAGCCACTAACATGAGCTGAATCAATGAATGCACTTAAGGTCTGTGACCTGTTGCACTTTTACCTTATTTAATAAATTAAGCTATTTATTACTGCACTTTAACTGCGCTGATCGTACATATAACAGACTCTCCTGGTATATTCTATGTTATTTCCTTTAATTAAACTTTTATTATTATGATTATTATTAATATTTTAGAATGTAGATGACTCACAAGGCACACAGTAAACCTATGTGTCTAATTGTCGCCACCCAGTTTTAGCTATTAAAGCTAGGAGATTGTCCTTGTGAGTCTAGAATAGAAGTATAAAATGTTAAATCCTTCCCCTGTCCATGGGAATGAAAGGTTAAGTTGTACAATTTGATTGCTGTTATTTTGAGACACTGGGGGTGGAGCATGATTTAAGGGGAGGACAGAAAGAAATAAACACTAGGGAGGTTTTTGAAACATAAAAGTTCAGAACCCTTCCTCACCCCAGTAATATTGGTTCAGTCTCTTACATCATAGTCAAACAAAATGCTACAACATCAGCCAAAATAAATGCATAATATCCTGAATATCACCATTACCAAAATAACATTTTTGATCCACTTTAGACTCCATCGGAATCTTCTAAAGTACTTTTCACTGAAAATATTGTCATCATCTGTTTCCACTCAGTACAGTTGGTTTGAATTAATCAAGAAAAATTCTATCAAACTTTATGAGTTTACATTAAGTGTGTTGTTCTAATGCATTGCGCAGTGTTATATTAAGCTTTTTGAATTGGCTCTAGCTTTTCCTCGTCACAGTTGTGCGATTGACTAGATTGCTCGAGACCAAATGTGCAAAAACACCAGACGTTAGACGTATTTGAACAACACTTGAACGAGCAGAGGCTCATAATGATGACATAATAGAAGACTAACTCACATACCGCAGCTTCCGATGAGCCTTTTCACCCTGAGATGAGGATAGGAACTAAATACACACAAGATTACAACTGCGACAGGTTGAAGCTGGAGCGCACCACAGCCTTGACAGCTCTCTGCAACCATAAAAGAAAAATACATTAACAGTCAATTTCATAAAATGCACTTTGATGTATTTGCCATTTACAGGATGGTGCATTAGACGACTCTTTGTTCACAGTGTCCCCCTTACTTTGGCAATAGTGAATCCATTAAAAAACTGGGATTTTCCTCAACTAATTGCGGTGCACTCAAGAAGGCCTTTGAGGCTCCCCTGTTCATCAGCATCACACAGTTGCATATGCAACACATGATCTGCCCATGGCCATTGAGATGCCTGTTTACAATGAAAAGACCGACACACACACACACACACACACACACACACACACACAACACACACACACACACACACAGACTCATATGAGTAATAAGCGGCATGTGTGCAGATACTGTGAGTCATGTGTTGTGAATAGGAACAACTATAGCATGTGGTGGGTGTTTTGACTGTCACCCAACATGTTTGTTGGCCCTGGCCCTCAGATGGGATTTAGTAATGAGAACCGACAATTTTCATTGTGGTGCTAACAACATATTGCCCTACCTGGCTACCTTTACTTAAGCCATTAATGCATTCACTCAAAGTTAAAATATGTAAAACTGTGACATCTGCCACCCAACTAGAACAGTCTCTCTTGTGTATTTATTTAATTTTTATTTTCTTCATAGAAGAATAAAATGTATGCAACCTCTCCGCAATTCAGCATACCAATTTATACTTCTCAGTTACTACACGAGCCACATTGTTAAATAATTCAAGTACATTATGTATGTGTTTCCCAAACCACTGCCACTTCATACATTTTAATTGACAGCTAGGGTTCAGGATGGCAACATTCAAACTGTGCCTAATAGCTTCTTTTTCAGAATTTGAAAACAAACTAAAGTCTTAACGGTGATGGGATGAAATCTGGAGTGATAGCACTGTGAGATTGAGGGGAGGCAGAGTAGGAAATTGCACTGTTTGTTTCTTACAGGGAGCATATTCATTAAAATAAAGTTGGTGTTACCCGTCCATCAGTGCTGTGAGAGGACCTGGAGGAAGAGGGCTGATGGTGTATGAAACTAACTTCCTGTGGGCAGACAGCTGACCTGTTAGGGCGCACACACACCTACACACACACACACACACACACACACACACACACACATAAAGAGAGCAGGTCTTTTGAGATTATTTCCCCAGTAGATGTCAGTAAAACATTCCCATCCTCTGTTTATTTCCTCTAACAATCTTGGCTCTGTAGCAGGTTTAAATAAGTACTAAATGTCAAATCACACTAAGCCTTTAATACCAGCAGCCCTGTTTTTGAAATGCAACCTTAAGATAAATCAGACAGGAATTCTCTTTAAAACAAGTGTTAAGCGGGTAAGTCTCAATAAGTGCCAGTCAGATATGATAAAACGAGTCATTCGGCTTCAGCAGCTGTCTTCAGAGAGAGGAGGGAGAGCAGCTGAGGCCACGCAATGTATACAACGTGACGAAGAGCAGATCTCCTTGGCCATGTGTTGAGACGATCAACAGGCTCCCTGCGGGGACCGAGTTCATGGGCAGAATGGAGAGGAACAAACCATGAGATTTAATACATACATTTAAATTCCTCTTTTGTCTACTTTTAATTGTTCTCATTTCGAATTAGTTTCATGAAATGTTTAAAATTAAGTGGAACTGTTCAGTGGTTTATTCTCTCTTGCTCAGAGATATTCAGAAAGTGATTTGTCAACCTCCCACTGGCGGATTCCCCCTCTGTTTGACTGCAAATATTACATTTAAAGACTTTAGTTTGGCTATCTTTTGCATGGTTTTGCATGACAGAGTACTCAGAGTACCGTATAGCCCACACCTGATCAGGTAAAATCTGCCAACAACCCGAACACGTTTGTTTTTCTCCCCCAAATGTGCGCTCTCCTCGGTGCTGAAACTGGTAGGTCTGCGTAAAGCTGCGGTTGTTTCTACATTATTTTTTTTTGAATGGGAGCTTCTCCTTCTTCTAACAAGTTAAAGAAAATGAATGAAATGGCATTTAAATTGCTTTCAAATATATTTAATGAATATAGCAAAGTGTCAGCGCCAGGTCCTAACAGGCTAAATGAGCTGATTTTCTTCGAAAATTGGTTGCATATGTCTGATCTTGCTGGCACGAGGTTTAATTGGGGTATTGACGAATAATGTAATTGAAGGCTTTGGGCGATTTTGTGTTTTAAATCACGTGTTGCTGCACTTGTGGTAATCGCTCAGCCTGGTTTCCCCGAATCTAAAAGGCAAATAACGACTGTCATTATCGTCAAAGAAATGCCAGCCTACTTCTTATAGCTCTCCCTCTCTCTCTCTCTCTCTCTCTCTCTCTCTCTCTCTCTCTCCCTCCCTCCCTCCCTCCCTCCCTCTCTCACACACACTCACTCTTCCCCCCCACCTCCCCACTTTCTACCGTGCAGCCGAGGCGCTTCTCGTCTCCAAAGCCTGTCTCCAGAAGCATGTCCTCAGACATGCAGCCAAGGTGCGATGAAGCGGACCAAAAGAAGCCACCAGCATGACAGCATGAAAGCAGGTAAGCCGATACCTAAATAATCTTTTCCCCGTAAGAACTGTAGTCTGTTTTTTTCTGATAAAAGCCAAACAAAATCGATATTTCTCAAGCAGGTTTACCATGACTCTGAAAGACCAGGAGATAGAACGCTTGTTTTCCTACAGTGTCTTGAGTAGTTGTTGCCAGGGATCGAACCTGAGACTTTTCAGATACGGGACAGATACTCTCTGTATACCAAACGGATTGCTCACGCAGCCATGTCGACAACTGTGATCAAGATCCTTCAGCGCGTAAAAAGCCGAAATAAAAATAAACTCGATCATTACAGTAATATTCTGAGTGTGTTTCCAGTAGATTTCAGACACTGCAAAAGTTGTTTTTGTCAGCTAGAGTGACACAAGTGCGTAACTTTATTTTCAGGAAAGATTTGAGCCAACAGAGCAACCCAGGTGACTGATGTAAAAGATTTGATGCCTCGCATTTGGCTGAAATATCCCGGAGAAAAACAGGCCCGCCAATATCTACTGCTGGGGAAGCTTTGCATGACGAGCACAAGGACAACAACATGTTTTACGCTTGATCCACAGCTGTCTGTGCCATATGGCGCATAATGGACGTAGAGAGGGGAGCAGAACTTAGTATGTGGTTTATTTCTAATAGTTTCCTGAGCATCCACTGCTGAACATGTCTGAGTATCAAAGCATACCGTAGTGTCGTTTAATGCCTACATCAGTTTTATTTTTCAGGCAAATACATCCAACCACCCGCTCCTTCAGTTGCGCACCGCCTCATTAAAGATTTGGTGCAATAAGCACTCTTCAACCCCATTTAATACGATTTTCTCAGTGTTTTTTTCCCTTTAATCGATTTTTACCAACTATGTTTTTATTATTTATCTAAATAATGCCAATCGGTTTAAAAGTAACGCGCGCTCATGGCGCTTTGGAGAAAAGCGTACTGCATATCGTTTCATTCCTGCCTTCATACAATAACGGGTTCTTCCACAATTCTCCGCCTTTGATTTCTAATCTGTGCTAACCCTCCACACACAGCAGCGATGCAGATCTGTGAGTCTATATTTGCCCAGGAGCTGCGTCCTCTCTTGTCTCCTCAATTCGGTCGACCTTTCATGATTTCAGTGTTTTATGGCCACAGTGGGATGAAAAAAAATCATATTTTATGCTGCCATATGATTCTCTTGCCCGTGGGTCGATAAAACAACCAGTCCAATACAAAGTGGTGCGATTATATATGCATTGAGATCTTCAAACCTATTTAAGAATGAGCTGTGATTTTGCGTCGCAGCCACAGCCTACGCGCGTAAAAGCGCAACGCTCGAAGCTGAACAGACTTGAGGCGGCAGGTTTGTGTCGGACTGTGTGACTGTGGGTCTCATAGTTGAGCTGTTTTACTCGCAGAGAGGATCTCCCAAATCATGCTTTAAACGACATGCAGTGAGCTTGTTGCCCATAAATCCACCAGAGGACTCTCGATATCTGTTATCCCCCCACAATTTTATGCTGTAGGTCCTATTTTCTTTTAGAATCAGAATGGCAATTGCAGTCACAGCAGTTCAGTCGCGTCTATGTGAATGAAAAGGGGCGCCAGAAAACGTAGATGTCTACTCTTCCTCTCATTTGACTGGATAAAGCTGTGCAGTGGAACGAGGAACTTGTGGAGGATGGAGGTAGGTTCTAGTTTTGGATCATTTGACTTCACTCTTACATTAATAAGAGACTGAGAGTGAGCGTAAGTAGAGCTGCTAAAATAAAAAATTAAAGTAATTCTATGAGAAGAAAAATATGTTCTCGTTACTCCGACGCTCAGAACGCTGCTTCTAAATGTGGAACAGAGACAAATTGTGGTGTTATATGTGCCTCCTTCTTGCCGTGAATATCGGGATTTTACATAAGACAGAGTGCATTTTGTTTGTGATTATTATTTGCTGAATTTCATATTTTATCACGGGCTATTAAGTGTATATTTACAGCAGGGTCCCAAATATTATTGCAGATACAGTTCACCTGTAGCACCAACCTGTGCAGAGATTCGACATTCATTTGGCACTTCGCTGTGCAGTGTATGAGTGAGTGCTGAGGCTTGACCTTGATTAAGTCGCTGGTGGTAATTGGTTTTTGTTGAAGAGATGGCAGGTAAACAAAAAGAACCAATGTCGCCTTAAGTATCTGTTATTGTCGCTGTCTGTTCCTGGGTGTGCAGGTCGATGCTGGTTTTGTTCTCGCACTTTCATGCAGATCTCCTTGATGTGGTGTCTTGCCAAAAACAGGAGAGGACTTGCATTTTGATACTTCATTGGAATCCATTACAAAGTTTCCATCACTTCAGCCATGCTCTGTTGTTTTTCAAACAGCACGACAGGGGAACAAGTGGTCATATTTGTATGTGCAGAATGCTTATCCAATCAATATCAAACTGATTGCAGTTGCTGTTTGGAAAAAAAAAAAAAATTGCCACTTTTTATGAAAATGTTCACTTTTGGTGGATACTTGATTATGACTGGGTGCCCTCTGAACCACTTGAACCATAAGATTTCCACAGAAGAGCCATTTGCTTACTAGGAGATAAAGATTTCCAGCAGCCTCTTATGTTTCCATCATAAACACAATTTGTAGGACCACACAAAACTGTTTATGTTTCATGAATCACATTCACAGAACCTCTTAGCACATTGAGGCGAGAACCATTGCTTTACATATGATTAAATGCCTCAAATACCAAATAAGGAAATAATACCAATTTTGTGATTCAATTTGTGTGTCTCTGAATGCTCATAGTTTTATTGCATAATCACATTATAGTCACATTGTTCATTGTACAGAATGTGATTATCATGTACAACTGGTCCATTTTCTTTTAGTGTTGCAACTATTTAAACATTGGCTATTTTACGGTACCACAACGTCCTCTGTAACAACTTCAACTTTCTCAGTATTATTATGTACTTTTAAATTTTTTTTTAAGCCTTTCATTTGTATTATCTCAAGGACTGAATGTGCACTTTAACAACCTTTTACATCCATCGAAAATGCTAAGCTATGTTCCACTAATCTCTGTGCAGAAGTTTACCAAAGTTTCTCAGACTTGTTGCGCTCCATTTCCACTTATCATTCTGTTTGATATCATGATGTTGATGGATGAGGTTTGGATGCACCGTGACTGAACAGTTATTTGATGGGTTTTTCAATTTCTGCCAGTCCTCTGAGGTTTACCGAGGTCAGACGTGTGGCTTCGATCTTTTTCTTTTTTTTCCATGTCCATCCCTAAATCTATTGATATTACATTAGAGAGGCAGATATTATAGACTGTGCATAATTTTTACTGGAGGTGTCAATGTGCTTGACTGTGATAGCAAATGATGGCGTGGATTGATTTGTGTATCGTGCTTAGCCAGCGATTCTGCATGAATATTGCCTATTGGCATGTTGGTTAATGTAGATCAGAGTAAAATTACGCATGTAATGAACATATTCATTAAAACAGAATTTCCACATTTTAAGTGCTAACCACAGATTTTTGCAGTCCTGTCTAAGAGTGATGTTCATTGCCCCCTGTGGAGAAAACAAGATATAGACAGGTATGAGCCTCTATTGAGTGTTTTCTGTTTTCTCCTTTTCATATTGAAATAATGAAGCTGTAACAGAATACAGACTTGTTCTTGGTCTCACTCACATGGAGGACAGAGAGAGAGGAGGAGAGATTGAAGGAGGAGGCTCATGCCAACGCTTCTACCTACTATGAATGCACGTCGCACACATATAACTAAATCTGTGTTTTTGGCAGTGGTGGAAACCGTGTAAGAGGCGAGGTTGCTTTTGTAAAAAGTTAAATTTAGCCAGTGGGGTGCCTCATTCCATGGACATAAGCTTCTCGGTTGTAGAGCGGCTGCTCAGTGCACATTAGTGAATCTGTGTAGCTGGCGCTCACAGAAAGGAATGTCTAATTATCACGCTTTCAACCGCAGTAGGCTCCTCTATTTGCACTGAGCTCCTGCTCTAATCGCTTTCTTTTTCTGTCATTACACACTTATTTATTTTATTTTTACGCAATTAAAATGTTATTTTTGCTCTGTGTGGATGAAGAAGTCCATGAAGCATCGGCCTGGGTGTTGAAGGAAGCTCTAATTGAGCAGAAACAGAAGATTGGCTATGCTAATGTGTGGAAATTTTGTGGAAGAGATACAAAGAGATTCTATGACAGGGTTTTACATAAGAGTGAACGTGTGTGTGTGTATATACGAGTAGATGAAGGTTGTGCCAGTGAAATAACTGACAGGATGAGGATGAATTTGACTCATACATATATCTAAATATGGTTTTATAAGCTTAAATGTCCATGTAGTCAACTGATCGGGGCATCTGGATTTACACATGCTGTATCTTCAGTGGGCAAATGGCTAGTGTACCCTTATCAGATGCTGAGTGATTGCAGAGATTTACAATATGAAGTGCCACTAAACCACCGCACGAAGTGGCATTGATTGGAAAGGATGGGAGGAGGGAGATTCCTCCTTAAGGTCATTATCTAGCAGACAGAGAGAGTTAGACGAAACAAACCAGTGTAATTGCATTTGTAACAAAAGACTTGGAATCAATGGACTAAGCACTACTTACAGCATGGTGTCAGCATATTTCATCAACATACAAATGGATTCAGTGACCCTGTAATTGCTCATAAAGTCTATTCTATGAAATCAGTTCAGCAGGTTCCGGAAGTCTACAGTCTGTGTGGATCCATATTTTATGTGACTCAGAATACATCTGACAACCTGAATACTGATCTACATAGCACACGTTGGAAAAATATGACATGTATAAGACATGAAAGTGACGTGTTTCACTCCAGTGTGTGCAGACATAACAGCAGTGTCGAGCTATGATGTACTGTCAGTCTGTGAAGCAAAAAGAAATCAAGCAACACAGAGTGAGGAACACACCTTTTAGTTTCAATCCTGTTACAGACAGTATTACCAGTATGATGATACAGTCACTCACTGTTCAGGACTAGGATTATTTTAAACTTGCATTAGCAGAATTTTTGGCCACTTGGGGGCAGCATAAACAAGCTGTTAATAGTGTGAACATACACATATAGCAGACATGCAGAAACATTAGCTTTAATTTGGAGTTGTGTGTCTGGTCACCTGGGGAACATTACTATCCTTTTAGCTCTGCTTTTAATCTCTACAAACTCCTAAATTAAAATATCTGGCTCTTTAGCTGCTAAACACTCAACTATGTTCACCAGCAAGTTGCTATGGTTGTCAGTCTGCTGTTTGGGGCCGCACAGGTAGCGTATGGTGGATTTTTAAAGTTTTTCACTGATAATAGTTCCCTGCTGATGAAAGCGGTTAAAGGAAATCAAAACAATAAAGTTGGGGCTGTTAAAACAAAAACTATGAGCAGAGAGATGTTAAAATGCTCTGTTGAGATGAGGGGAACTGCGGAGTCAAATGATAATTGAGCCAATACGAACCATTCAAGTTACACAGTCAGGATCAATTTATAATATCGATTACAGCAGCTTTAAAGTTGGAATGAAACAAAGTATGGCTGTAGAATTCCTTATGCATTCAGTCTTACTTTTATACATCTAAGAGGCTCAGTTACTTTTTTACAAGCAGATATTTGCAGAAAAATAAAATGAAGAATAAAAATGTCTGGATTAGAATGTCCTCAGAAAGGTGAAAAGCAAATTTCTGAATATTATTCAAACACCTCCGTTGGCCATGAACTCTAGTTTTAAATTCTTCACACAAACGGTTTAGATTTCTGGAGTTGCACAGAGGCATTTTTTTTTCGAAAGACTGTTACCAGACAGCTAATTGTACTCCATATGCAAATGAATAGCGCCTTCTGAAAGTTATAACTGTTTTATAACTTATTTAGCTGGTACTATGGTTGATTTATTGCTCAATGATGCATGATTGTCAGATTTTTGTATTGTACTATATTGTGCCATGATATGTTATTACACTTCTCGTACAGGAGTGACATATAGTAATTACAAACTGTTTCATAATGAATACACTTGAGATCTGTATAAAATCAACTCTTCGGGTGGGATGAAGTGCTCCTGCTTTTAGCCAAAGGTCACCATGGTGATAGTAAACTGCAATTAGAAAAGGAAATTGTTTATATTTTAAATGATAGGAAAGAACAATGATATTTAACCTGTGCTTTCAAATCAGTGTAAAAAGTCTCTTCCTCTCCTTCACTGCTTTTATTATGAGTATTACAGAAGAACATTTTATTTTTAATCAAGCTGTCTGTAAATGGTCCTTTATTATGCTCATACTCCTTTCACTCTCGCATCGTTTGTCTCCATTTCGTGTCAGCATAGCAGAACCATACATTTCAGTCATTGTAAAAATCTGAACAGCAGCTCAGTTGCAACAGCAGCAGCAGCAGTTGTAGTACTACCCCCAAAATCTCTGGAGATCCCTTTAAATGTGCTCTGCTTCCAAAAGCCTCAGGTGTTCCTCAGTCTTGCCGCTCATCCAGCAATAATGTCGGACGACCATTGCCTGCTCTTAATTATTCTAAGCCTCAGTACCAGATAATTCGAGCCGGCTACTTCAAGCTCTGGCTCAGCCATTATTGTTGGCTCCATAAAACATTCAGTGTGCCCGTCTGCTCTCACCGGACCTTGGCAGGGAGGGGTTATTGT